GATGCCTGAACGGTATGTGAAATGAAGTGGGCGGGCATCGGGAGGCCACTATGGCACGGGGCAAGCACTATGGGCAGTCTATCTGAAGTGTACCTGGCGTATAAGACGAACCCCCACTTGGAGGTATATTTTTCAGGGCCAAAAAATCGTCTTATACGCCAGCAAATACGGTAACAAGAATATAAGAGGCATTTTCATCTACTGCTAGAAGGAAGATAATAAATTGGTACAATTTTAGGAAGGTAATAAGTGTTAAAAGCTTTAAAAATACTCATCCCCCAAAAGAACTGAACACTTCACAAAAGAAGATAGTATACAAATAGTCAACAGGCACATGAAAATGAGCTCAACATCATTAGTCATAGGGAAATGCAAATTAAAACCACAATGCACAACCTAATTCATAGATAAGTCTCAGGTATAAATTCAGGGGAAAGAAAAGCAGAAAATGATATATAGCATTATAGCATTCCTGTGAATTGCTTTAACTTTTTATTTTGAAATAATTTTAGACTTATGAAAATACTGCAAAAATAGTAGGGTTCTCCTATACCCAGTTTCCCCTAATGTTAATATTTCACATAGCACAATTATAAAAACTAAGAAATGAACATTGGTGTAATATTCAACTATATTACTTTACTTGAATTTCACCAGTTATTCCACTAATGTCCTTTTTCTGTTCTAGGATCCAATCTTCGCCACCATGTCTGTTTAGCCTTTTCCAACCTGTGACACCTCCTCAGTCTTTCCTTGTTTTTCATGAACTTGACACTTCTGAAGAGTCAGTTAATTTGAGAATATCTCTCAATTTAGGTTTGTCTGATGTTTTCTCTTGATTAGACTGAAGTTATGCATTTTGGGCAACAATATCACAAAAGTTATGTCCTCTTCTCAGGGTATCATACTGGGAGGTACACAATGTCAATATGTCTTATTATTGGTGATGCTAACCATAATCATTTAGTTGAGAGAGTGTTTTCCAGGTTTCTCACTGTAAAGTTACTATTTTTTCCCTTTTGTAACTAATCTTAGGGAAGATACTTTGAGATGGCTAATATCCTGTTTGTTTGTTTGTTTGTCAAACTTTCAACTAAGCACCCATCAGTGAATCTTTTCTGCAACAATAATTTTGCAGTGTTCTAATGGCAACTTTCTACTCATTCATGGAAATTTCTGAAAAAACTACTACATGCCATTTGGATAGTAGATTGGAAGAACAAACCTTATACACTCGATAGTGGATACAAACTAATATTATCATTTAACAATGTTAGAAATTTGGAAGAAGGAATGTGAAACTAATGAAATGGCTTCCCAACTGTGCTGAAGATTGGGATCACCTAGGAACATTAAATAACATTGATACTGGCCTCTACCACTAGACACCTAATTTAATTGGTATGGATATGACCTGGCATTGTGATTTTTACAAGCTTCCCCGGCACTTCTGATATGCAGCAAAGACGGAGAGCCACCGACCTAAAGTATATGATTTAAATATGAGAAACACAGGTTCTACGGTTGAGTAAGCACTCAACTGTATTCTTTTTTAAAAAGTGTCAACAAGTAACATTCACCTTGAAAAAAGTGACATGCAACTACAAACTGCGAGATTAGGGGAAAGAAAACAGCGACCTTATAAAATCAAGAGTGTCTGAGGCATTCATTCCTTACCCATCCCACGTACCCCAAACGGGCAGGATGTGGTGCTCTCTGCACATTTATAAGTGAAAGCCGTACCAGGCCAGGAACCACTTTGCCTGGAAGTGCCTTTTGCGTAGCGCTGGAACAGATGCCAGAACAGAAACAGCAAATGCCTTTTCTCTCTCACAAAGGAAACCCGAGGCGGGCAGGACAGCTGATGTGCGCGCCGCGTTAGACCCAAACCCCCGAAGCGGAGCTGACGTCCAGCGAACACACCACTGGCCATGCAAACACAAATACGGGCGCGCGGACTTTTCACAGATCACGAAGCTGCTGGCGTTTATAAACAGTTCGCGCACGTCGCTGGAGAAAGCAAGAGCTTTTCAAAGATGGAACATGAAACGTACTCGCGGCCAAAACCCTCTTTTCAGAACAAGGGTTAGACTACCGTGAAGTCACATAGCGCTTCGGGTGATCAAAGCGGCACAAAGTCGCCGCTGCAATCTTCAAATACCCCGACTTTTCCCAATATGTTCAACACAAGTCTGGTGCCCATCAGGTGACAGTACATCGAGGCGGGTAAGCACAAGCGAAGGGGAGGGGGGCTAAGAGCTATGGAGACAAAGTCCCGCCGCCTCCGCCCCCCGCCCCAACACACACACACACACACACCCTCTCACAGAATACCAGGCCGGTATCTCTCCGTACGCATTTCTATTTCATGTCATTTTGGCCCGATGCTGCCTCCAGCCACTGCTACATCATGAACCAGTACCCAAAGCAACACGAAAAGCTTGTTAGCAGTGATCCCGAAAGTTTCCGAATTCTCTTACCAATGTGGCAAACGCCCGGCGAAACTGTCAACGGTGGACGCCGCAAATGCCGGGCTCGGCGTCTAGAGGAAGATGAAGGGGTCCTGGATATCTGTCCCCTTCCCCGGAGCCGGTCAGTCGATGTCGAGAAGGTTGATCCCCGTCAGGATGAAGAAACGGACCAAGAGTCGCAGAGGGCCGTTGTCGGGGCAGCGGCCCGCACACCCGCGCAGGTACCGGCAACGCCGACCAACTCCACAGCTGGCCCGGCTGACTGAGA